AGAGAGTAGCCAGACAACACAGAAAACAGAGTGTAGCCAAGAAAGTCTTGAGCCCAGGCCAAATGATTAAGTCAAGTCATTAGCCAGCACAGACGATGCTCCAGGGTTGTGCCGGCAGCAACGTGTGCTGGGCTGGGACGCCAGGCTGAGCTCCAGAAAGGCTCACCTGAAGACAGGCACGCCAGCTCTGTCCCTCTATCCCATGACCTTTTCCAGAAGCAGGAGCAGGCTATGCTGCAGCCCCCCATGGGGGCCAAGGGCTGTTTTGGGGGCTGCATGGTGCTAGAGTAGCTCTGGTTTCCAAGAGAAGCTTCAAGGGGTTTTTTTTGTTGCCCTTTCCACAAACATTTCCCTTCTAGGGCCTACGCATGGTCTTGAGAGAAGAGAGGAGGTGGGAAAGTGGCTGGTGGGCAACAGGGACTCTCACCCTTCCTGCCCCAAGGTATTTCCTAGTCCTGGCCATCCCTTGGCACACATCCTGTCCCAGAGGGAACAGCCCAGAGCTTCCTCTCAACCCTTTCATCACCAACATGTAACTCCCAAGTGCTCTTCTTCCCCCATCCTCTGTGTTGCTGTTCAAGGAACCTTGGCTTTGGGGTGTCTCATGCTTCCAGTCCTCCTTCCATCTCCCTAGGCCCCAAAGTCCCTCTGCTTCCATCCTGCTGGGCATTGCAGACCAGCTCCTGGGCTGCAGCTCTCCAAGGTGCTGTGCAAGAGCATCTGCCCTCCTCTGAGGATGTCCTGTTCTGGGACCAATGTCAGCCATGACCCAGGGGTGAAACAAACTGAGAACCCCACAGCCTTCCCTGCCCCAAGTCAGTCTAAGAGCCAACGGGGCAGTGAGAGCAGCCCCCAGGTTTTGTTCTATCCCACGTACTTGTAGAACTTTCCACAAGTGAATTTGGTGTGCAGCCCAACTGGGCATCCTTCCTGCCAAGCCACACAGGAGACGGCAAGGAAATTGTTGATGGGCTGCCTTTTGTAGAGGTCCTCAAGTTGCTCCCCAGCCATGGCCTCCTGAAATCCTTGGAGAGGTTGCAAATCAGGCAGCTTAATGTCAGAGAGTCAGGGCTGGGGGTGTCCTACCTGGCCACTGCCATCTCGGTGTGTTCACGTGGGGACATTTGCAGGAATCACCAGGTTGGGAAACTGTGCAGCCCAAAGGTGATGCTGAGAAACGTGTGTTGCAGGGATCCTGGGAGAAGATTGTTTTCCTGGGAGTGTTGAAGAAGACATAGCTGAAAGGTCTTGGATCTGCTGCTCATCACTCCCGGTGTTCCGGACAGAGCAGGAACTGGCACCATCTGATTCCTTCAGAGCCAGATCCTGAGGTTCCTCTTTGCTCCCTCTGGGCAAAGGTATGACATAGTCTTTTTTTCCTCCTTAACTCTATTTACAGTAGATTGACTGGGTTCCCTTAGCTAAAGAAGAACGAGTGGGTCTCAGAGCCCCACACACTGGCTGTGGCCCCAGTCCCAGTGCTCCACTGGATGCAGGAATGCATGGACTGGGAATGCCATGGGAGCCATGTGTGAGACTGCCTTGAGCTGGGTGTTGCAAGGGAAGTGAAAGCAGCTGCAATGTCTGCCCAGTATTTCCCAATGAGGTAAACGTAGCCAGGCCAGATCTTGCCCCAGGGACTGACCGTGTCTGGAATTTGCTGAAATTCCCCCTTTCCTCTTTCCAGCTCTGTAGCTTGGAGGTGAAAAGCAGACCACCATCAGACACACCGGGGAGCAGCTGTCACGGGGGCTCCTGCAGCTCCCACATCTCCAGGAGGGGAGCAGCATGGCAGGTGCTCCCAGAGAAAAGCCCAGGGACGAAGGTGATAACTCACCTGGTCCATTTACATTTTGATGGGTTGGATTTCCCACAGGGATTATTCATTCCCTCTGATTTCCACTTTAATTAACAACTATATTTTTTAGGTTTCTGCAGGGTGAGTGCTCATGGATGCTTCATGCTGCCTGTGGTGTCCTCAGGGCTGGAGCTCCCTAGTTGCTGTGGAAGATGCTTAAATGGGTCGGTGCACATGATGCTCTTCCCTCATCCCAAATCCCCTGCCTGTGTGCGCCTCTGGGGACCCTGGGCCCTGAAACATCCCATCTTCCCCATCTGCACAATCTTTTCTGGTCCCTGAGGCTCAGCACTGCAAGGGGGAGGGGATGACCTCCCTGCATTTCATGGGGATGCACTTCAGAGATGACCACTCTTTTCCTAGAAATGTCATTGACCCCAGGAGAGGGGGGAAACTCATCACATTCCCCTTTCACAGTGAGAGTGGAAAGCCCCTTTCCTCACCCTCTGGTGCTCCTCCTGGGGAGCAGAGGCGTGTGAAGCAGATGTGCTTTCACCCACTTGGTTCCCAGACAGCTCCCAGGAGAAGGCAGAGCCTCCCTTCCCTGACTGTGTGCTGGCAGGGACTGTGGGCAGCTCAAGGGGCAGGGGGGCTCCTGCAGCCAAAGGGATTTACTTCCAGGAGGATACATTCCCAACACAGCATGGTCCTTTTGGTGTGCAGCCAGTTGTGAGCAAGCAGCAGGCAGCAGCCCCTTGTGCCAGGGAAGTGGCTGCAGACCTCCCCGCTTGCTTTGGGGCGGTCTGCAGTGCCTAGAGGGGCAGAATACCCAGCACTCCTTGCCAGCCCTTGGTCGTGCTCCAGGATCTGCCAAACCCACCCAACATGCAAGGAAGTGAGGATTTGCTGTCAGGCAGCACCCCCATCACCCTTTGCCAGTGGGTCAGGGCTTCCCACTTTAGGACCTGCTTACGTTGTCTTGCACCTTGCTCTATCTTACTCATCATTTCCAAATGAGCTGAACTTGACTGAGCCAGATCAGACTGCAGCCCTCATGCACCAAGGCAAAGAGAAATTTGTCACTGCTCTCCCTCCTCTGCAAACTCATGCTTTTAAGATCATGGTTCTGTGCCTCCGGATTGAGTAGATCTCTCTTGATGCTTCTATCAGAATTTAAGAGGGTAAGAAAGTTCACACAGCTGAAAGGCTGAGAGCAGTTCAGATGCATTTATTGTGTCAAGCCTTCCCTGCCTTGTGCCCTGTCTAGACATCACCTTAAAAAAGCCAGATTGATTGGCAAGGCAGGGGATCATGTTGATATTCTATTGCCTAAGGAAAACCAAACTAAAGCATTCGTGTGGGCTGTGCCAGGGGGTCTGGGCCGCTGGGTCAAGGCTCAGCTTTCAGGATCCCCTCTTTGCAGGGTGCTCTCCTGGAGGTCTGCCCACCAGCAGCTAGGATCTGTCATCCTCCCTGCTAGGGCATCTCTTTGGCAGCTGGCAGAAGATCAAGTGGAGACCAGGTCCCAGAGTCAGCCTGCATTGCCAAACCTGCAGGGAGCCTGGGGCTGATGACTGACACTAATCCTCCAGCCCGTAATTTTGCCTTCTACTGGTTTGTGAGTGTTAGGAGAAGGCAGGTGCTGACTGAAGTTAAGCTGGCACATCCTGTTTGTACTACTCATCCTGCCCACCAGCACCTGCCTAATCCTTTCACCACAGCACTGGCTTGCCAGGCCACAGTGTCAGCCAGAGCCAGTGCTCTCCTGATGGAGAAGGTCACCCCATTTGTGAGGCTGATGCCAGTGCCAGTGCAGGGATGCAGTGCCTTGTCTGGTGGCATGGCTGAAGTCTCCCCTTGCTTCTTACCATGGTGGAAGGAAGGGGCAGAGACAGATATCTCCTACTGTTGAGGGGAGCAGAGGGACACACTGAGGCCCCTGGGTTACAGCTTTTTTTCTTGTACCCAGGTAGAAATTTGTCCACATGGAAAGGAGCTGTGCATCACTCTCCACCGAGATACAAGGGCAGGACAAAGTTTGAGCAAGGGAGAAGGTGGTGGCATGGAGACTCTGCTCCAGGATTTGTTCACCCCTGTGGGGAAATATTTTTCCTACTATCAGTGGGGATTTTTCTGGGTGCAACTGGTGCCTTTACATTTTGTCATGTCCCTTGGCCCCTCAAAGATGACCCTGGCTCTGGCAACCCTCCAAACCCCTACAAGCCAGTGAGACCCCTTCATCCTTCCTTCCCTGGGCTGCACAACCCCAGTGCTCGCAGCTTCCCATGTGGTACAGGCCAGGGCTGAAGCAGCCTGGTCAAAGAGAAATCACTTCAGGTGGCACTGACACTGGCATGGTGGTGAGACACCATCCAAAGGAGGAATAGCTCCTGTCCCTGCGCTCCTGCGCAGATCTGAAGCGGGAGAGGGAGCGGGAGTGGCAGTGCTCATGGTGAGCTGCTGGCACCCTGTGCCAGGCACACAGCCTCCCTGGGGGATTTCTGCTCCTCCACGAGGAAAACCTGTTTACAGGAAGCTCTGTAGCTGCTTTTGGCTGTGAGCCCATTGGCTGGGATACCTGGCTGTCTTTTGGCATGTGAGGTCCTGGCCCTGGAGTGGAGCAGGTTGACTGGCCTCTCCCCTATCTGCCAGATTTGGATGTGCCCCCCACCTAGGCACTAGGGAGGGCAGGGTGAGACAACCAGGCTTTCATAACCGGATGGCGGGGGGGGGGGGTAAGTGGGAGACACAGATCACTCCAGTGCCTACATATACCCCAAAAATGGGGTTGAAGAAAGTTATACCCTCACAGCATCAAAATGTTGAGCCTGTGCGATATCTAATATACCAGAGATATATAGGAAAAGGGACTGGGAAATATATGGTGTGGGACCACTCCTGTGACATCCCAGGGCCCTGGGGTGCTTTCACAGGGTAAAGAAACCCTGGAGCTGCCTGATCCTGACCTGGCCTGAGTGTGAGCAAACGAGTGGGAAAGAGAGGGTTTGGCTCTGGGACCACAGAGCAGCTGGCTGCAGGGAATGCAGTGGGATATCTGGGAACTGTTCAAAGATTAAAATCCAGGCTGTGGCAACACTTCTTGCAACTTCCCAACCCTCTTCTCCAAAAGAAAGTGAAAGCCACGAGCTGGAAGGATATATAGGCAGCAGGGACCAGCTGCAGCAGAGTGCAGGGAAGTTGTGCAGAGCTCACCTCTCCTGCCTGGAGTTCCTTCATCTCCAGCCCATCCTCTTGCCAGACTCAGCGGCAAAATGCAGCAGCTGCATCTTCTCTGCCTCAGTCTGCTGGTGCTGGGATGTATCCTGAATGGTAAGAGGGAGCCTCTCATGCTGCCTTTCCCGCAGAAAAGAGACAATTCATTTTTTTCCTCTCTTTCGTATTTCCATCAGAGTTTTAGAGGGACTCATGTCTGGGGCTCTGTGATAGCCCTCCTGCATCCTCTGCTTTCAGCCTGTCCTAGAGGGACTTTGTCCTGTCCAAAGTCCAGGCAGGGGCCTGAAGGGCTCTGGGTTGAAAGGTGTGTTTGGGCAAGGCTGTGGAGCAATCCTGCCTCCCGGTGCTTTAGCCCAACTTGCACAATTTGGGCTGGGATAACTCTGATCCAGTTCTCCCAAGTACACTTCCCCAGCTTGAGGTAGCCTCAGGGTGAGTGGCAGGACTGGGAGTGGGAGGGAAGGCATGTGTTAGGGCAGGGCCTGTGTTTGAGGGGCTGCTAGTGTTGGACATGCTGTTTGCACTGGTCACAGCTGTCTGGGTGACACCAGAACCTCTGCTCGGTGGTGGGGAGGTGGGAGTCTGAGCACCATGTGGTGGTGTGCTACATCTCTCTGCATAGGGTTACAGACATCCCTGGGCACGGCCAGCCTTGTTGGGCATTAGCAGTGAGTAGAGCATTTGCTGTGAGGGTGACTGAGATCCCCTTCCCTGCAGAGAAGTGCAGGCAGTCGTGTCCCTCAGCTGTCACAGGAATGATTGGTGCGGGGTGGGCTGGTGATGGGGTGACTGCCAAACCTATGACTGCCTCAGTAAACAAAGCTGAAGTCATCCCCAGCCCCTCGGGAACGGGTGTCTGTACTGCAGCATCCTGATGAGGAGTAAAAACCCCCCTGTCCTGTCTTGCTTACTGGGGTGCAGCAGGGGGGTGCAGGAGGGACCCAGTCATGCGGAAGGGTTGCCCTTCTGCCTGTCTGCCGTCCCTCATCTCCTTTGCTTTCTGTTGGAAGGAGGCAAAGGGCTCCTGGCACCGGGGTGTGATAGCAATAAAGCTGGTGCCAGTGTGCCCAGCCGGGGAGCCCGGCTCCAGCGCGGCCCCTTCGCCCTCCGGGGCGGCTGGGAGAGGTGCAGCTGACCTCAGCCTGCGTGGTGTGTTCCTCCTCCTCCTCCAGTGCACGGCGGGAACAACGTCCTCGACTGCTGCCTGCGGACAAAGGAGACGCCCATCCCATCGCGGATAGTGCAGAGTTACCGGCTCCAGCTCGTGCAGGACGGCTGTGACATCCCTGCTACAGTGTAAGAGCCCGGGTGGTGGTGGCTGAGGGACAAGAGCTTGTGATGGCCAAGGGACGGACCTTGCAGGGGTGGGGGCAAAGCAGGGTGGAGGAGGGATGTTGAGCTGGGTTTGAGAGAGAAGGGAATGGGGAGGGTTGTGAAAGAGATCCCGGGGATCAGGAGGCTCAGTCAGAGGAGGACCAGCTGAAAGGGGAAACTATGGGACAAAAGTCAGGAAAGAAAGTCATTTAAAGGTAGAGATGGAAGAGGGCAGTAAGGGAGGCAGTGGGTGAGAGCTTGAGCTGTTCTTGAGCACCTCCAGGGTGTCCTGCTCACTACATCTTGTTTTTCCCTCATGGGCCTGGCAGATTCATCACCACAAGGGGCAAGCGCCTCTGTGCCCCTCTCCAATCCCCATGGGTGATTCATCTCAGAGAGAAGCTGGATTCAAGCTTTGCCAGGAAGGTAAGAACCATTCCTGTTCTCAGACAGGCATGGGGGCAGCCTGGAGGTTGATTTATCCACTGCCGAACAGGCTTTTCCCAGTGTGTCTGAGCTGCAGGGAAGAGCCGCCCAGGGACATGCTCTGCTGGGGCATGGATACTATGTCTTTGTCCCCATCTGTCCTCCCTCCAACTGGGGCCTGTCTGTCTCCTCTGTAGGCCCTTTTCCACCCCAAACAAATGCAGCCCTGGGGCTGTTGTTCACCCAGTGCCATTCTTGATCGAGCCTGATGTGTGCCACAGCAAACAGCACTGGGAGCAAACCCTTCCCCACTTCTGCCTTGGAAGCTTGGAGTCTGCTGTTGGTGCGCCTTCAAGGGGAGGGCTTGGGATGAGTTTGGCAGGCACTTTGCAAGCCCTACCAGGTCCAAAGTGGGGAAAGGAACTCTGGAGAGGCCCCTGCCCTGAGTTGCACACCAATAACAGTTGGGTTTTTCACTTCCCCAGGCAAAACTTCAGGGCCAGTAGTCTCCAAAGAAGCCCATGGCTGGTACCAACACTTCAAGTGGGACCAGCTCCCAGCTGTGAATCTGATGCTAATGGAGCCATTCTGCTTCTACTTCTAGCCTCAGGGCTGACTCCCCTCAGGACTTGTATCAGTGTGTGGGGCTGGGCAGCACCCTGTCTGCTCTCTCATTTTCCTTCTGTCTCGGATGTGACTCAAATACCTGTGTCAGGCTGACCCAAGGGCTCTTGGACTCCATTGCCTTTGCAGCCTGGCAGCTGGTGGATGGACTGATCTGCAAGGCAAGTTTGGGCAGTCTCAAACTTCCCTTCAGCACAGCAGCTGTGACCTCCAGCTGTAGTTTGATTCCTTTGGTTTCCTTTGTCAGCCCCAAACCTGAGTTCTTCTGCGTCCCTGGGAAGGGCTGCCAGGATGGAACAGTGTTGGGATGGCTGGAGATGTTCCTCAACGGTCATGCACAGCTTAGATGCCCTTTGACAATGTATGGCCAGTGTGGTTCCTCTCTCACTCCTGACTTCCTGGCACCATTTGCTGTCCTTTCTTGCAAGGGTAGAGATAGAGCCAGTAACATGGCAGCTGCAGAGCAGGCAGTGATGTGGCTCTTAACCCCTTCTCTCCTCAGGGGCATCAATCCCCTTCTCAGTCCCCCAGCCTGACACCACCTTCCAACACTGCCCCGTGCCCATGCCTGAAGCTCTCAGGTTATTTGCTGCTAGATCTGTTCATTGCAATAATTCTGTGTGTATGCTGCTTCTTTTCTCTCTTTTGTGTTGTGCTGAGATTTTGTTAAATAAAAAGAAAACATAACAGGGAGTTGATGTGCCCCGTGTTTGAGACCGAAAGCCGGCGCAGAGTGTGGGGTGTGCAGCCAGCACTGCCTGCCATGCTGCAGTGGCAAGGGGGCTGTGCTGCGGGGGGGGGATGGGAAAGGCAATTCGCAGGGGTGAGGTAGACTGTACAGCAGCTGGGCTGCAGGTCTCCCTTGAGGGTCTCTCAGCACCATGGCTGAAGCAGGTGCTCTGCTCTGTACTGCTCAGCCAGGCTGCTGGAGCACATCCTGGGGGGTTTGTGTGCAGAGGTGGGGTGGGAGGGAGCATGCCAGCATTGCACCATCCAGCCCAAACCTCTTCAGCTGTGCCAGTACAGCTGCTGGGCTGGAGCTCCCCAGCTCTCAGCTCGCACCGGAGCACAGGACATGGAAGAAGAGCTGCAGGAACAGGAGCTTTGTCCTTGCAGTAAAGGGAAACTGAGGCACAGAGTGGTCGATTGCCCTGGCAGGTTGGCGCTTGCTAGCAGCTGGGGTGCAGATGAGGAGAAAGAGTTTTTGGGGAAATGGAGGCTGCTGAAGACATCCTGGGCACGTCCATGGATGAGGATGGCAGCCCACCAATCCCTGCCTGTCATCCACAGTGGGATGAGAGTCCATGGCCATTTTCCTCCTGAGCCTTGGATCTTCTGTGACTAGGATCTTAGTGTATCAAAATGTCCTTATGTCCCTTTTGCCAAGGCTGTGACTGGGGCTGTTCAAGTCAGGGAGTGTCCAGGCACCTGATTGCTTTTGCTGAGACCTCTTGAATGCCAGCTTAGCCCCGTCCCTCCTCCTCCCCTGGTCATCTGGCTCACTTGCTGGGGGCTTGTTTCTTTTTCAGTTGTTCTCCCCTCTGGGGCACTCCTGGTATGTGTGTACACGCAATGCCCCAAGCTAGAATGACTCTGAGCGTGATTTTCCCATAGCGCCAGCTCTGTCCCAGCTCATTAACTATAGTGACAACCCCAGAAATTCAATCCTGGGAGAAGAAGGAAGGGAGGGAAGGTTGGTATGGGAAGAGAGGCCAAGATAAACAGCCTGAGTGGGAAATGAGGATAACTGCTGCTTGCTTGGACAGAAGCCTTCCTGCTGCTTGCTCAGTGACCTGTGAGGGGACTGTGGCAGGGGAGGGGGAGGATGCTTGGCATGGGTCTGCACTGAGGCTGAGCTGCTGCAACTCACAGGGAGTGGGTCCCTGTGAAGGGCAGGGACTGCCAGAGGGGCTTAGATTGGGCCAGATCAGATTCATCCTTGGCTGCAGGCTACCCTGACAAGGAGAACAGTGTCCTGGACCAGAGGAGCTGAGGGAGAAGGGGCTTGCACTGACCTCTTAGATGTTGGAAGCAGACTTATCTACTTCCATCAGAGTTTGAGGGATGGCTTGGCCGACCTGCCTGTAAGAGCATGGCTGCAAGGCCCGTGACTCCCATCTTTCTTGGGAGCTGTAAACATGCACTCCTCAGACCAATGCAGCTGTTCACCACAGATCCCTGCCAGGTCCTTTTCTGCCATGGCTCTCAAGTGGGTGTTGATCCCTGCCCCAGCTCTGGCAGCAAGCTGCTTTTACCCCCCAGGGAAGGAGGAGAGTAGATGCTCTCCTGGACTAGGTACATTGTCTTGGCTCCTGTCCCGTCTCCAGTCCTGCAGCAGCTGTCCCCACTTCAGAGCCCAACTCTTGGAAACCTGTCTAAAACAAGCCAGACTCAGTGCTTAGTAAACTAGGGAGTGAGTTTTTCTGATACAAAATGTCAATGATCTCTTTAGAGGGAAGCAACCACTTTCCTTAGGGAAAGCAGCTAGTCACTCTCATGTCAAAGACCTTGATTCCCATCCAAAATCTAGTTTCAGTTAAGAAGTCCTCCCGTTTCTCTCTTCCCGGACATGTTTTTCTTACTCTTTTCCTACCCTGACTGCATCCTCAGGAGCTGGTGGAGCAGAATCCATTGCAGTACAATGCAGACATACTCTCAGTAGCTCTGGGACTATGTGCAGGGATCACTTTGGTGTGAGGTGTTCTGGAACACTGGCTGAACCCGCTGTAGTCCTTTATCCAAACCTGGGACCTGTATTTCACATGTTGGGGTATAACAAGGTATGATAATTGAAAAGCCTTCATATGGAGCTGACAAAACAGCCACTCTCTTGGTGGCTGTGCACCAGGCCAGGAGAGAAAGACAAGGCTACATCTATGCAAGCAAACTGAGCAAGCTTTGGTTTTTTTCCTGGCTACCAGGACTCACAGCTGGGATCATGAGACCACTCCTGTCTCTCACTGGCATGGTGAAAGTGGTCTCAGATGCTTCCTAGCTGTGTTCAAGGGACACCAGACACAGCAGGCACAATCTGCTGCTGTCTGAAAGTCTGACCTGGTGTTGGCATACCCAGCCACAGGGTAGGATTGAAGGTCCGTAGCAAAAACACCCATCTGCTTCTCTACCGGAGGAGCAAGGCACCAGAGGGAACTGCTGTGCTGGTCTCACTTGGTGCCATAATACCCTTTCTGGGGGCTTTACTGGAACTGGTTTTGTTCCTTGCCTCCAAAGGGACAGTGTACAGGGGCTTCTTCTGTCGTCAGCATCCCTCATGTGTTGAATATGCTGCTCTTGAAGTGACTGGGATGGAACCAGCTACACCCTCCTCACAAGCACGGTCAGGCAAGGTGAGCAGCATTGTGGAGGCTAAAAGCTGTTCCCCCTCTCACAAACTTCAATCACCTTCTTCACATCACTCTTTGGTACAGAAGAGTCAACAGGAGCTGTGAACGTGCCCTGGTCACATTTATTAGTGTAAGGGCCAGGTGTTCCCCATGCTGGTGCCAAAGCAAGGGGCTGCTCTCCATGGGCAGATTCCTTGGCACCAGTGCAGATGCAGCTGGCATGGACTCGGGGACCTGCCTGAGTTCTTGTGAGGAGAAAGGACATGTAGATGGTTGGGAAGGGCAGGAAGCCAGGAGAGGAAAAGCCCCTTTAATTTTGTTCCCTTCTGCTGTTTGCTCTTGCCTAAACAACAGGTGTGGGTGATGGAGAGGATCCAGACCTGGCATCTCTCATCCTCAGGCCCCTGCTTGCTCCCACCTCATTCCCAGCATATCATCACCAGTGCTACTTGTCTGGACACTTTCTGCTTTGATTTGTCCTGTGGGAAGATGCCAGAACTCTTAGCCAGGTGGTGGGGTTCTGAGAAGAAGCCGGTGCCATCCTTCCCACAGCTGAAGTGTCCCTGGTGGTATTGTCCAGCCTGTACCTCCATGGTCTGATACCCAGGACTGGAGTATGGGACCAGTGTGCTTTTCCTGGCCCTAGCTCCCAGAGTCAAGTTGAGCCCAGAATTTGTCTGACATGGAGACCCTTGTGCCTAGGCAGGGCTCAGCTTCGTGTTCTTAGAAGCTGCAGGTACTACAGCTCATTGCAGTGTGAGCTCAACCACGAGCCAGGTGCACCTTTGCCCGGGTCCCAGTGATCAACTCACCCTTTGGAAAGGGAGAGGGGACCCATTCTCTCTGCCCTCAGATGCACCCATCTTCTCTTTATGCACAGTAGCAGTAAAAACTGGAGATAATGACAAAACCAGGAGGACAAGCAAATAGAAAACTTATTCTGCTGACAGAAGACTCTGGAAAGTACCTGTTACCTGTCCACCTTGATGAAGCAGTAGGCAGTGGTTGGAGGCTTAGTGCCATTTCTGTGGCCCTACTCACCTCTCCCTACGGTTTCCCTGCTTAGCTGTGCCTCCAGGTAAGTTTTTTTCCTGCTCCCTATGGTGTGTCCCCTGGACAGAAGGCTGGGGGCACCTTTCGTCCCTTCTTTTCTCAATTACTCTGCAATCACAGTAAAATTCCCTGGGTGTATGATAAAACAAGAATTGGTTCTGTAGGAGAATGAGGTGAGGGGTCACTGCCAGCTCAAACTGCAGGCATGGGGCTTTGAGGGGGCTGGTGAAGATCTGGTTAGCTCTGGGTGGGAGGGACAGCCATGAGGCAAGAACCGGGCAAGCAAAGAAGAGAAGATTTTTGAGCTTCACATGAATTCAGAAAATTGATGTGCAGCCCGAGGCCTTATACCCATAAGCAGGAGAAACCTTTCTTTGTCCATGGTAGAAAGGGAGAGCCAGAAGGTTGCTGGTAGTAAGGCAGACTCAGAAGATTTTCTCGTGATCTTTGTTTAGATCTAAAAAGTGCAAACCTCTAATCCTGGTCTCTGTCTCTCTCTGTTTGGCCCTGCACTGCCCAGTTTCTGCCCAGTTTCCTTGGATCCTTCTACCCTAGAGTTTACTGGCATGATGACTATTGTGTGCCTGTCCAGACAATTTGGCAGCTGTGTTGTGTCACTGCAGATTTGCCAGGTACAGCTTCTTGGCTTGGGATGTTCACCCGCTGCAGCCTTCTCCAAGCACATCTCATACTTCTATACTTTCCCACAGAAATCAAGATTTTCTTTCTTGCAGATGTTTTGCCTGGGAAAGCCCCTCCTCTGCTGGGATGTGCACTGACTGTCCCCTCACTGCAAGCACACAACTGTGTTTACATGCATGCTGCTTAATCCTGTTTAAATTATCAAGCCGTGACTTTCTGCTGCCCGTGGGAGGGATGATGCTCCAGAAATGTGAGATGCGGAGGTGGTCTTCGGTGAATAAATCAACTGCTTTCCTTGAAAGTACCTGCAGCTTGTGTTTTCCCACCTTTTATTTAGCTGACGTGGCTTTTGGAAAGGCACCAGTCAGCATTAACAGTGATGGATGGCAGCTACTGTACTGGAAAGAACAAAAGCAGAAGTGTCCCGGATATGTTACAGCTACAGATTCAGCCTCTTCTCACAGCAATTGGTTTCATTTCCTGGCTACTGCGCAATGCTCCAGCATTGTCCTCTGACCCAACCAAGGCCAGCTACTCCAGGGAATTCCCAGTGTCAGAGCTGACAGGGCTGCGTGTTTCACTGCCTGCCTGGGGTGAAGGCGGGGCTGAAGGCTGCAATGTTGATCCCTGCTGT